CACTTGTGTGCCTATCCCGCTCATTCACAGGATTTTACTGCTCCCACAGCAGTGACAATGGAGTAAGACACATTTCTGTACTACCACTGTCCTACTTTACTGCTTGATTTATTTAAAATGCCAAAAATGAGCTTGTATTAACAGACTGGACTAAATGGAAGTGCAGATACACGTCTCCTTTTGCCTTTTCTGCTATGAAAGAAATAATACTCAGCAGAGGAGCGGAGTAGACAACTGGACATAACATCTTAAACAGCCTCTGCTAAATGAGACAGTCCTTGAGAAAAGGCTAAGGTTGGGTACAGATCTGGAATTTAAATAGTCTTAATCACAAAAAATAAAAGAGTAAGTCTACTTATTTGATGTCTTCACTAGATGGAGATACATCAGTCTCCTCTACAAGCTCCCATTCCACATAGAAAAATTACATTTACTAATCCAAATTAAAGTTGAGTTCCCAAGGATCATTCGGTTGGGATTAGTGTTATGTCTAGACAGGACTGATAAACTAGATTTAGGACTGGCAGCGCCCAAATGCACCTGGCAAGGTTTGTGTCAAAACTGGCAGGTACCACTGGCCCTTAAAGTGACAACTAGGTAGGTTGCAAGGTAGCAAGTTTTGATAAGTAAGCAGCTGACTGGGGGCTGATAGAAGTTACCAGGATAATTTTAAGGCCGCAGTTGGTATTGGGTTCTTCTGGTAGACGTCAATAAGTTAGGAATAGCCTTGTTTCACACAAAGTTGTTTTAGGGTAGGTTTAAGACTCGTGCTGGTAGGGATCACATAGCATAGATACAAGTATCTTAGAAACGTACTTCAAACCACGAGCTGCCAAATAGCTACCACATTTTATTTAGTTCATTTATCACATCTCTAAAACTTAGGACTTCATATTAGACAGATTCACACATTTTCCCTGATATGACTAATGACAGCAGTGCTAACAGCTGACTAAGGTATATGACAGGCTCTAGAGTTCAATGAATGGAGAGAAGTTGGCTTTAAACATTTATAAAGATATGGAAGAAATTCATTATTTAAATTCTAAATTGAAGCCTTTCCAACCTGTCTGAACATATTTGTATTTAAATTGAAGCAAAAAGTAAAAATATGTCTTTATCACAAAAGTTTCCCAAAATGCACTACTGAACAAATAATGTCCTTCATAAACCATAACAAGAGAAGATAAGCAATATGATGAATTAATTCTATTGCTCTTTGCATAGATCATATATTTATTTAGTTGCATATCATGGTTTAGTATCCAGTGCCATCATAGCCTACATTTATTTCATAATTTCCAGGGACAGTACTAAGACGCTTAACTAAAAAAAATGGCAATCCCTCTTCTCCTTCTATCTGCATTTCTTCAAGTAAGCGATTCTAAGCTTTCAATACTGCAGATTTATTAGAACTGACAAGCAATTTCATTCATTCTTGTGTTATATGAAAAAGTGCAAGCATTTGGATAGCCTGAGAGGGGATGCAAGCGTCAGGTCACAACAGATTCCTGAAACATACTTTGTATAATCTGACCACTTGCCTTGCAGTCTAGATATATTACATAGTAAATTTGGATTCCTTACCATGGTGAACAGGCTTTTCTAAGAAATTAGAAGCATTGTATCATCAGGACTAATTTCCAAACTGCTGTGTGTGGCTCCAATCCTGATTCAAGTAACATTTGTTGACAACAGCAGAAGTGTTTCTCAATTTCAGTAGTGGAGGATCAGGTTATTGGGTCTCTTGAGATCAGATCCTTCTGTGGAGAACATTTATATCAGTGGTGATTATGGCTCATAGAATTCTTCGTTATCTAACACTGCCTCAGCATTGGTCTTCGTAAAATTTGGCTGCTTTTAGATTAGATTTTTTTTTTTTTTGTCGTATATATTGTTACCGCCTTTCCATGTGGTTCTGTCTCATCAGTCCTCCTGGACCAAGACTAGGAGAAAGACAGGTTGGGAGATAGGATGGTGTTCTGTCACTAGGGAGGTTTCAGGCCCAAGCACAGAGTTTCTTCTTACTTTAGCTACAGTTTAGCTACAGATGATAAATTTAGGAAACTTGGTCTATACAATTCTGTGCCTAAATTAGTTTGCATAGCTTTTCTGTTCTACATGAGAAATATTTTCTCTTGTGCTATTTTGCACAGAGCATTCTGCACAGAAAAAGTAATAAAATTTTGAGAAAGCATGAACTTTTTTCTCAAAGAGTTTACTAATAATTTGAGAGGTATTTTTAATAAAAATGCTTTTTGTTAAAACCTTGTTTCCCTAAAAGTATATGAAACTATACCAAAATTAACATACATGCTCCTACACTTTTTAAATTTCATTTTTGTGGCTTAGTATCAGAATGACTAACTTGATACATAAGAATGAATCTTGTGTGCCATATTTACACAGTTTTCAGGTGTGACACTGTACCTAATAAATAGAATTCCCATCATATGTGAGATTTACTTAAACCCAGTGAGGAAGATTGAAAAATAAAAACAATAAAGATATCAATTTTTATGACTTCAGTAACTGAATTTGTGAAATGGAGCATATTTAAATCAATGGATTAAATTCGATAACTTTTTTTCTCTCTCTTTTTTTTTTTTTTTTTGCTTCAGTATGGTCTGACATGCTGAAATAGAAAACAAGACCAGCAATGGTAAAAGTGGAGACAGCTGGAATTAAATGATTTGCAGAAGCCAAAGGAAACTCAATTTAAAGATTAATTTACAATACTAATGTTCATGTGCAGACATTATTAGGATGTTAATTTCCTGAAGACTGTGATTCTGTGACAGTGAGACTGTGACACTGTGACTCTAGCTTCTACTGAGGTACTGAGGTAGTTTCTGCATGGGTGAAGTTACGGCAACCTGGATTTGGGACTCACAAAAGTAGAGGATATGTAATTTTTGAAAGAGTAAATCCTTAAGGTAGTAATTTTTCTTTGATAAAGTTTGAGTAATAAAAAAATTAAAAGGTGGTGTTAATAGAATAAATATATGCTGTTTTTATATGCAATTGCACACTAGACGGGTGAATGAAAATATAAGCAAAATATACAGAAAGAATACATGGGCACTAACTACAATTCATGCACTATGTCAGAATAAATCAATAAAGCAGGAAAACAACCAAATATTAGAGAAACTTTTAAACAGAAAACATATTTTGTTAGGTGAGTGAATCAGAACACTTCTATTCACTGCACAGCGGAAAAGCACTGAAAACAGAAAACTGAGGGCACTGAATGTATTGCCTGTTTTCACCAGTAAGACAAAGATTGAGAAGTGAAGCAGAGGCAGGACTGCATTTCCAGCAAGAAGGAAATTCTTTGTGTTGTTGCATAGCAATGCATAACATCAGGAAACTGTCACGCAATGCATAGCATAAGGGAATGCCTATACACATAGCAGAGAAAATAACTGTGATAGTTTATTCATTAACCTAAGCACAGAGATTGGGAGGTCGAGTCTCAGTAAGACTCTGAACACAAGCTCTGATGTAGTTAGCCTCCATATACCATGTAGACTTACCATGCAGGCCTATCAACCCAATCAGTCCTGCATACACAACCACCAGTACCAGACCTACAGAGCTAGGCTAGAGGCTTCAAAATTTGAACCATGTATCGTGAAGACTTGTCGACATTTTGACAATTTTTGTTGACAATTTGAAAGTTAGTTAAGAAAAAAAGTAAAACACTGCAATAAAATATTTGTGATTTTTTTCCCTGATTAGCTTTAGAAATGGAGTCACATAGAAAAGTAAAACCAGACAGAATTAGACCTTTGGAATAAGCCAGAGCCTGTGGGAGAAGGATAATGTAATACCCTTCCCAGTTGACTGTATCTTACTTGTTCTGTAAGCAGGGAGTTATTAGCCTGATACACATAAGGCATTTCTTAGACTTTCCTATCAGGAAAAGTATCTTTAAATAAACTGGTTGTTAATATACTAACTATTAAAAAGTATTCGTCTATTTTCAGGTGCTTTCAGTTCAGAGATATTGTTCTCAACAAGTGTGGGACTATGATTGGGTCTTCAAAAAAAGAACCATCTCATCATACAGGAAAGTAATGCTTCTAGCCTAGGCAGGTGATACTCACTGATTACAACACCTCTTTAAGTCTCAAGGTTGCTCCTTTCAGTTGTGACTAAAATTAAATCACTCTGTGGTTTGAGGTTTGGGGGAATTCTGAACAAAAGAAATACACACTGTGACCAAAGGTATTGAAGAAATTTGATCCAAATTTATGAACAACTTCCATCAGCCTGAACCTACAAACTACGTAGAGTACAGAAAAAGCAGTAGTGAGAAATGAAGATTTACCAACATGGTTCTCTTGTCAAGCAACAACCCTTCTGAATTAAGAAGACAAGCATCCCACGCTGTTACATGACTATATTGTTTTCCCAATGTATTAGTAAGAACTGAGGTTTGAGAGTAGGTTTGTCTCTCAAGTTAAATTAAATTTTCAGCCTTGGAGATCATACACCAGGAAAGGTCATGACACGATAACAATGCACGCTTCCACAATGCAGTAGCATAGAACCTTTCACCTAGAAATACGTTTCCACAGGAAACAGAGGATTTTTTACCTATTTTCATATAGCAATATCACTTCAGCAACTTGGACTATATCAACGAATTGCCTAAATCACTTACTTTTTCCGATAATGGAAATTCTATCGAACTTAATGCGTAATTCGGATACTGGCAATAACTCCAGTTGTTTGCCACCTGGAAGATTTTTTTTCCACTTGAGAAAAAGAGGTAAAATATTAGCAGTAGATGCTTAAGAAACCACAGCAAGTTTGTAAAAAACTATTCTTAAACCAAATATAAAGTCTTCCGTGGGGGTGGTTCACCACTTCCTTTAGCTGCCCATGCAGGAACTTATTTAGCAGAGAAAATAAAAACAAGAGCTATGTGCACAATAATTAGACACTAGACATGACTCTGGATCAGGATTTCTTGACATTGTTTATTGGAGATTGACATTGTCAGTTGTTTGTGATGCAGATATAAAATGCTCCACCTTTGCCATTCTTAGTCATGGATTACTCATTTTTCTTTTGTACAATTTTGTTTCTATGATGTGTAGCAATATTAATTTAGTTTAATGTGAGACCTGTACAGATTTCAGCAGAAAGACAATATTTTAATGGAAGATCACTCAAAAAGGAGTTATCACAGAAAAAATAATGCTCTCATAAATCTTTTTCTTATCTTTTTCTTATCAGGAGACACATCAACAACGATTATTTACAACTCCCTTACAAGCCTTACAACAACGTTTTTAGTACCTTTTCAGTTCTTTTCAAATCACCACATTTCCTCTTCATGCTGGAACTACAGTTGAGGACAACAGCTGAAAAGGTGTTCAAATGGTGTTCCTTTTCAGGCAAAAATCAAAACATAACGTTTATACTGAAGGCAGCCTATGCTTGTGGAGCTTTCAGTCCAGACAGTCAACCAAAATGCGAATCGGTTCTACAGTTCCTCTTAAAAAGAACATACTCAACTCCTACCAAAGACTACAAAAAAAACCACTGAATAAACACCATTAAAAAAAAAAGAAAAGAAATAATTCTGACCCTTGAGAAGTGAAAGACTGAAGAAAGCTTTGTGTAAATACAAGGGTCTGAATCCTTTTGTAAGGTCAAACCAAAGGCAAAGAGCTTATACTACAAGTCTTGGACACTGTTGCACTGACTTCACTGGAGATAAGGCAGAGCTCAGAGTTTAATGGTAAAGATGAGATTAAGTTTATTTAGATCTGGAAAACAAGTCCTCTACAGGTAAAGAAAGTGAATGACTGGCTGTTCCCATTAGTCATACTTCTGCTGTAAAGTTAGGATATTACAGAGTTGGAGCTAGTCGTTAACCTGCTCCAATCCAGATCGATCTGTGTGCTCTGCAGAAATATATGACAATAGTGAGTACTGGATAAATCTGGATGCCTGGTAAAGGAGTTAGGGTGAATTAATGACTATACACTATTTGTCAAGTAGAAGCTCACCCAGAGAAAGAGATTCATCATTTCATAATCCTACTGCACAAATGGCCCAGCCTACTGCATTAAATAAAATGATCCCTTCACAGGGAAGGGATGGAAAAGAAATGAGAAGCTTTTTAAAACTGTATTATACTCAAGATGTATTGAATATATCTATTCTATTACCACCAAAAAAATCCCAAAATTACAAGTCTTTCTCTTACTATTTGGGTACAATTCATCATTATATATAAATGAAAAGAAGAAAAAAAACTCAGGAAAACATGGTTGCTCCTAATACAACATTCATTTTGCCTGGCACCAGCTAGTAATCAGAGTGGCTCACTCTATGACCAAATTTATTTTAATAGAAAATGGAAATGTACATATTAGGACATTCTGTTTATACGATCAGTGAAGTCAGTACCAAATATCTCACAGGCATAGCAGGAGCTTCAAAGGGAGATCCTGTGAGATCTCATTCTGAACCTTGTAATTTCTAGCTGCCTTTCAGCAACCATCACTGTAATCATGAGGCAGCAAGATAATCACAGTAATTAGTTAATCCAGTCATTCACTTAATTTTTTGCATATTGATTCCATCCCTATCCTGTTTCAAAACCCAAATTTAATGTCAGCAGTGATTTCTACCTTGCAGCTACTGCAAATTTATCGAGATTCTTACAGATCTGTCTTCTCAGTATAACTCAGCACTGCCCCCAGCTTCCCCTTGCATGGATTCTAGAAATAAAATACACGCTAAGAGAGCAGAATGTGCATTGGTAAAAGTGGATTGGAGAGATGATGAGAGATATTTGGGAAGTGGAACAGAAAAGAATTGATACCATATTCCAAATGATAGGTAACATGATTTTTCCAGAAAAAGTTTAGATTTTTTAATAGAAAAAGATTTTATTTCTGGAAGTAAGAGTTTTTAAAGACCCTCAAAATGGCCCATCATCAGTTTGCACTATGCACAGATTTGTCATAATTTCTCCTCTGCAAGGTATGAGCTGTTGTAAAAGGTGAGTCTGAGCACACTTAGTCAGAAAGGGGGCATATTCTCCTTGTATCCTCTAGATTTTTCCAAGGAAAATCTAGACCTAGATTAAAAATTCTGATCTATCAAGGTAGGAACTCAAAAGACTTCTACACAAATCAAAGTTGAGATCATAAGAACTGGATTTAAAGTATTCACAAAACAGAAGACAAACACATTTTAAGCACACACACAAACCTCACGCCAGCCTTGGAAATTGCTGAGAAGATGAGGGAAAGTACTTCCTGCCTCTTTTCCCCTCAGCTAATATATGTGCTCCCAGCAGCAACTCTGGCACATAACAGCCAAATAATCCAGTGGTGCTTCTCCTGTTTTGCTCTCTCGTTGCAAATCTATTGCTAGATGCACCTAGAGTCTCCAGTTCACCAACCAGATGTGGTCTGACTTACCAGCCAGAAAGCGTAAGAAACTTCCAAAAAGTAGTCAGCAGAGTGCCCCCTTAAGCATATACATTGTGCCTTTGTGAACTCCAGGAAAGCAGAAGGCTGCATTTTCCCTTTCTATTACAGGAACAATGCATGCTGCCAGCATGCATCTTCAGGATTTGCACCAGGGTTAGGGTTCTTCAGCATGTGTCCTATGGAGGAAAATGAAACAAGTCATTTAGAATAGTGATCCTATTGTTTAAAATCTGTAGTGATCCTAATCTGTAATCTTTTTCATATCTATATGTAAATATGCAAATATGTATGTGTGTGTGTCTGTCCCTGACTCACAGGAGTAAAGAGAATCTCAGGTCTTCCTCCATGACTTCTGCTTCTGTGAGGTGAAATCAACTTTGGTTTAGGGCAGAAATTAAAGCATCCCTTTGTGTAATCCCCAAGTTTACACTTTGAGAAGACATTTTCAAATGCTTGAAAACACTTTCCATTCAAGAATTTTCTAAACAGCTTCTTTTTTTTTTTTTCTGAAATGAGTTTCATAACCTGAAAGATGGATATGGAGCTTTGGTCTCTAACCCCTCAGTCCCACACAGCACTCATGTAAAAATGCTGGCCATTCAAAAGTGCAAACTATTTTTAATTTAAAGATTACAATTTACCATTCTGTGACCTTCTGTTGCCTTCATATACGCCTTAAAGCAGTTTGGATACCCATTCTTTTGGAAAAAAGTTATTATTTCAGGCACATTTCCAATTACCACAGTCTGCAGACAAACACTGAAGTGCACCCCAAGCCTCCACCACAATAATCCCAACAAATGATACACCCACACCAAAATGGCTAGCTATGAATCAGAACCAAACTACATTTGACTGTTTCCAGACCTTCTTCACTATTCTGATGATGCAAGAGCAGTCGTGCTAATTCATTATGCAAGTACAAGATTGTCTGCCTCCTCAAATGAAAGTCTGGAAATTACTATTGCCATCTGATGTCTGTACACTGGATGTCCTTCTCCTGGAATACCATTTGGACAGTAGGAGCAAGACAGTAGGTGGTAAAATGCATCATGCCAGACTCGTCAATGATGTATTCTTCCAAATCTTAACACTGTAAACACAAAAATTCTGAAAGCAACCTCCAATGTTCTGAAACTTGAGCAACTAAGCCATAAACATGACAATATGCCTGTCTAGTTTATACAACACTTAATACAGCTAATCTTTATAGCCAGTACCTTTGACTTTTACCCTCAAGACCATGTAGGAGGCCGCTCTGTCATCTTTTCCACCCTTAGGGTCACTGGAAAGCAGGAGGATGGCTACAGGCTAGTTTAAAAATTGCTCCACTCTACACTGCACAAAGAATATACCATAGCTTAGCTTGTATGTTCCAAGAAACACAGTATAGCAAGTTTAGCACTTGTTACCAAGGTGGATATCATTGCTGGATGCAAACCTGAGCATTAAGATGTCTGTCACCATAGAAATCCCATGAATGGAGGTATAAATCTTTGAAAATTAAGCATAAGTAAGCTGCCATCTTTCTCGGCTCGTAAAATCACCACGACAAGCTGTACTCATGTATATACTACTTTTAAGTTTTGACTTTTCCCCTAAAAATATGTTTCTAGAATCACTACCACATGGCTCTAGGGATTCTGTTCAATGTATAAATGTTCACAGGCCAGGAATCTCCAGTGCAAATGTGTTGAGTAGTAACTCCTAGTGATGTAAGCACATGTTACAGACTGATAGAGGTTTCAAAAATAGCATAAGAGAGAATGAAGGAATGTACTTCAAAGCTGTATACAGAAGATAAAATGTTCACATCCCATTTTTAAAAAATTAAGCAGATATTTGCATACATCTTGCAGATTGCTTTGCTGTATCAGTACGTAAGAGTACTTTTTATCACGTGTGCATTCATAACCTAGGTTGTGTTGCTGTGTTCACATAACTCAAAATAAGCCATACTTCACAGCTGAATTATAACACATATTCTAATAGTAGAAACCACATTATTTCCACCTCTTACGTCAGGAGCTATGCAGAATACACTTTTTTTTTTTTTTTTGCATTGTGCAAGGGAACCTGAATTCAAATGTTTCCAGAAAGACTCAGAGTTATCTATACTGGCTTGAGATTTCAATTGTTAATCCATCCTAAAGAGAGCTTTGTAAATTGGGATAAAATCAGCTATTTCTGCCCACATATTTAAAAATCAATCCTCCCCCTCCCCCCCAAAAAAAGGCTTTCTCAATGACTGCAATTTGTTGTAGCAGCAAGAAGTGAGGTTATGAATATTTACATATATCTGGGAATGCATATAACTTGAAAATTCCATTTTACTTGCAATTCCCTTGCATAGTTTGCAGCTATGCTCTTATTAGGGTTATAAACATGGACGTACAAAGCTGCAGTAATCTTTCTTAGATGATAACTTGGCCAGTCCTCAGAGTAAATAAAGAGCAGCTATAACCTCCCTTCTCTGAAAGGTCTCATTGGGATGAAGTGACTTCATCTCAGTATCAGCAAAATGCAGGGCAACAGAAGGGGGAGGACAGAAAACTCTTTTTTTTTCCCCTGAGACTTTCAAAAAGGTTCCATGTAGAAATGTTGAGAGGAAAAAAAAAAAGATGTGAAATAACAAAAATCTAGAATATCCAGCTACTTTAGACAAGGGAATTCATAGCTTTAAATCTGAAAACCGACAGTTTGAATTACACAGCAATTTGGGCCCACTGTTAACTATGTGTACTCCTCAAGTGACATAAGGAGGTTATATTAACTACTCAGTCTATGCTAATCGGCTGCTTTCTTATGACCTTCATAAAGCTTTAGCATCTTGTATCAGAAGCAAAACTCAAAAATAACAACTTTTCCTTTATTTAAAACTAAATGATGTTTACTAAAAAAAGCACTTAATGTGCCCAGGTCAGAAGGCAAAAAAAGAATTTTTCATAAGAGTTCTCTAGATGATTTTACAGACTTAGAAACACTCTCCTAGCCAGTTTTCCATGTTTTACCAAACTGAATTAACTATTTGAATACAATAATTTAAAAATTTGAAAAATTTGTTCCTTTAGTGGGTGTTAGACATGTGTGAGCCTTTGAGAATCTGACCTGGAATGGGTAATTTGCAGCAAATCATTCGTTCAATTCGTATGTCCATTTTTCATTTCTTTGTAGATAACAATTGCATAAATGATATTGTAAATGAAACGTACTCAGTGAACATCTGGATAAGCCAATATCTGCAGTTTGAGCTGCATTGCACTGTGACAATTTAGATAGATTACCCTACATCAGTATTTCCTTTCCCTGACTTGAAAATATGTTCAAAATGAACTCTCATATATACATGGATTTCTTCCATTAATATTCCACATGCTTATTTTTCCTCAAACATTTGTGCCAATGGGCAAAGCAAATTAATTTTAGAAGTAGATTTTTTCAGAATGTTTTTATGGGATCCATCTAACTATATCAAATTTATGCTGGCATATGAAATGCCACATAGTGCATAAGGGGTTTGAAATGGGTTTAGATCATAACCTTATATTTTTCTTCTCTTTCTACCCCTTCTCCTTTAGTTTCCTTCTCCTTGAATCTGAGGCTTAGCCTCCTTGAGGCTCAGCACTCAAATCTGCTTACCTTCTGCTGACTGTGCATGTGTCACCCCCGATCACATCAGCTTCTTACAGACCTCCTATAGTATCATAGCTGTTATTTGCATGTCCACTGCACAAAGACTGATATCTTCCTTCTAAACCACCCTTGTAGTCAGCTCCCAGCCAGACACAGATCTTGCACAAGCGGTTTGATAAGCTTGAGCTTCTGTACTTGAACTTCTTGCTGATCTTTCACCATCAGTCTCTACAATTACTAGCTGGAATAAATTTAAACATATATAATACTAATAAATCCAAAGCACATGTGTTTCAACAAAAGCAGACAGTGCTTAAGATTTTCAGTTACAGATTGTCCCTAGGTCAGTAGTCAGGATGTCATTGTTATAACTTCCTCCAGCTGTTTTCTGCCACATGCTGACCTTGCACAAGATATAAATTTGATTATAGTATAAAATTCTAATTTAACCTTATATTGAATTAATTAGACTTTAAACTGAACTTTCTCCCTCTATGCTCTCCATATCCTTACTGCTTGGGATGTATTTCTATTTAAAGCTATTGCCTGTAAAAGAATACATTGTTTCTAACCCACCACAAATCTATCTAGTACCAAGATGATATCTATCTCTTGCAAAATCAAGGAGCATGCTTTGCAGTTTCTTTGGCTTATCTAGCCACTCAAACAATATTAAGAAAATGACTTCATGTTGGAAGAAGTATAGATTTGCTAAGAACAACATCTTCCACAAAGAATTATTGGTGGCAGTTCCCCAGTACAAATAGGTACTTACTTGATTGAAATGTTCTGGTTACTACCAAAATGTTTTCGTTACTACCAAAAATAATGAAATTTTGAAAGTTCACAGGAGAGTATAGGCATGTCCATCAAATGACATTACATATTTTCCCTTAGTAATGCATAGTTTTCTCCCCTCATCACAAGTGATTTTTAAGTTAATACTGGTTTAACACACAAGTGGCTTCAGCCCTTGACATGAAGTATTTTCACCAAAAGTAATGGCAGATTTCATTTGTGATACTATAAGAAGATGTAGTAGGCCTTGCACACAGCAACAGATATTTCCATTTTTATTTCAATTCTAAGCAGGATATATTAAAATATGGGGATAGGTGGGCCTATTCCAATGAAACGCTTCAAACCATTACATGTTGCCACAACAGATTCTTCCTATGGGGAAGTAACAGTAACAATGTGACTGCTACAGTGCAGTAAATTATACTGACGTCTAGCTTAGAGAAAGGACTATGTTCGTTTTCATATATTTTTTTTCATTTTCAGATCAAAATTCTGTCTCTGTTTTCTAGAAAAGTTGCTGTAAAATGAAGGTCAATAGCTTTTACCTGCTTTTAAAATAAGTCTTACTTTGTAAGGTGACTGTATCTTTAAAAAGACTAATCACAGATCACAATGATCAGTTAGTCCTATTAAATCCCTTAGAGTAAGCATTCTGAAAAAGAGAAGACTCAGATTTAACTGTGGAATTATATCCTTTTCAGGCAGAAGACATTTCTCTACTTACAGCTAAAATGTTAAAGGCATGCATCAGTAATATCATTTTGATCACAGCGTAATGATCTCTAGAAGGTCTAAAGGCTACATCTGCAGTTCCCAAGCACATAAGCTGCATAGCATGAGTGGCTCAGGTGGCTGCAGGGCATGACTGTACCTATTTCTACCACCCTGTGGAATACACTAAACTGTAAGTGTTTACAAACATTGCAGTTCTGGAGGACTATATCAAGGGTCTGAAAAAAAGCTTAAGGTTTAAAATTATTTCAGAAGATTGGAAATCATTGAATGATATTAATGGTCAAAATGTTTTCCATTTTAATGTTTTCTCACAATCAGCTTTTACTCTGTGAACTTACCGTGAGAGAAAGAGAGGAAAATAACATTCAAAAGAACTAAAGGACAGTGATTTTCCTGATGGCCATTTTTTGGACTGGGTTACTGAATTTAAGCTCCAAAATCAGATACTGGCAACTAAGTAAATTGTTTGATTTCCTGAAATTAGTTATCTCTAACTCTCTTTTCAATAGAAAATTGGATCTACCGATTTATTATTTCACTTTTTTTTCTTAATAGCCTCGTGATTATTATTATAAGGAACAAATGCAAAATGAAGAAAGCTAAAGAAGGACAGGGATGTTACACTGGAAACTGTTAAGGTGAGGGAGTGCACACCCATCCCTCAGCACTGTACCTTCTCTGTTAAGAGAATAATCCCATGTTAATTGCAATAACTCATTTTTATCTCATGGCTGTTTGACGGCCTAAGGAATGTTTTCAGTAGCATCCCTAGAGGACAAGCGTCATATAACTGAAACTGCTATCAGAGCCAGATATTACCTGCAGTTAATAAATAAATAGTTGAAGCCAAAGCCTCAGACAAAATGATAGCTGAAATATCAAGGAAAGTGAAGAATGCCTAAAGAAAGAGCACTTACTCTTACAAATTCCTGCTAAATAAAATTTAGTCTCAACAGTGAAGAAAATGCCCAAAACATCAGTCATGATCTGATGAGTTTGTGGAATTTTTTCCTAGCTGATTATGGCAGATACTTCCAATGTTACTTGTCTTTGAAACAGAAAATATGATATGATAAATCTGTGACTTGTTTTGGCATAGCTGCACTCAAGCAGAGAATCTAAATGCCAAAACGCTCCTAGTTGCCAGTCCTTGAAAACCAGTGGTACTGTAAATCAGTGTCAGGGTTCTGCATTTACTCACTCTCTCTTCCATGGAGCTGTCTGCTTTGCTGAACATGGTGGAAAAATGAAGGCTTGCTGTACAGCTGATAGGAGCTACAGAATATACAGCAATATGGATGTCCATTACATTCCAACTCAAGCCTTCACATATTTGTTTAGAAGGCAGAACCTGAATAAATTAAATGTGAGGACCAGTGAGAGTTGTGGCTTTCAGTAAACTCCAGAAGCACTGCTATAATGAGCCCAACAGATAATGTCCACCATAGAAACAGTTAAGCAACTGCTATGAAAACATAGGTTATAACCTAAACCAACTACCTTGCCTTATCCAGGCAAATCTCTTACAAAATTCAGAATTTTTTGACAAGCAGCTAGTAAATGATTACAAAACTGATTTTACAAGGAAAATAATACCCTAAAGAGAGGTTAAAAAGTGTTTTACATTACCAGCCTTCAAATAGAGCTAGTCTAGAAAATATTCTTGGTCCTTCCGCAGGAAAAAAAAAAAAAGGTTTACAGGACTGGCAGAGTATTATGAATCAGAAGAGTTATAAATAACAGATTTATGAGGCTACTTGCTGTTTCATCCAGGCTGAGAGAGCAAAAGGGTAAAAGAGTTAAAGACAATGTGCATATATGTCACAACATGCAAGGAACCACAGTCACACTCCTAATAAGTATAGAATAAAAAGAAGACATCACAAATCTGCATTGCAGATGACACTGAATATAAGAGAATAAAACTGACAGAATTATCAAAAGGCTACTTAAGACTGCATGGCATTCTGACAGCATATAGAAAGACAAACAGTTTTATTTTATTTTTAGAAGATGAAACAAATCTGAAGAAAATGCACTGCACTCCTATGGGGATGTCGACTCCTACTCCTTGTTTTTTTGTTTATCTTTAAAATAGAACTATTTTTGCTATCTTTACTGAAATAGATGGGGAAAGGATGACCTGCTTTATATTTACCACTAGTTTCTTTTCTAAATGTAAAGAGCTGACTGCATTGCACCCAGGCAGTTAGTTCCTCGGTGACTAACACAGGCAGACACATGAGTTGATTCACCCTCACCCACAGGAATATTTTCTCATTTGCTAGAATGTGACATTCTAATGGTCAAGCAAGCTCACAATCCCCAAAACACATTCCCAGAAACAAATGTTCTTATGAAAAGAGGCTTTCAGCAACCATGTGTAGAGAGTGCTAGTACCTGACACTGGCAATCAATCTATCTAGGTGTTATGCTCTTTCTAACATCTGAAGGCATCATCCAAAACCCACCGAAGTCGATGAATAGCTTTTCAGTAATTTCAGCAAGGTCTGCATCAGGTTCTGAGTGGCTACAGCTATGTGTGGAGATAACATATATTGCCCCAACAAATATTTTATTTACAAGCTGTGTCCAAAATAGAAGGTATAAATTCAACTACTCAGCATGGATTATTACAGAAAACATGTACCTGGAAGCAGTATCTGAAACCCAGATCATTAAAGGGAATAAGAATTTAATAGTGATGCCACTTTCAGTGTACCAGTTTGCTGTTTAAGTTTCACTTAGACTTGAATCGTACTGCTCAGTGCTCTGCATTTTGCTGCAGTTATAAAATTCTAATGCATACTTTATTTTTAAAAAAGTTGCTTTCTCTCCTTTCTTTTTCTTTCATCAAAACATCATGCCAACAGACAGACCAGTGCATCTGAAAGAAAAGAAATAAAGTTCAGATTAGATCAAAGGATAGATTTTATTTTAAACATCACTTCCACATGGCCCTTAGGGAATAAGGTAGAATACATTTGTCATTACAACAGTGAAAGGCCGATTCAAACATGTAGCCCTAACAGCTGAAAATTTGATTTCTACCACTATGGTGACTTTGAATGCGTCAAGAAAAACCATGAACTCTTACGAGTAAAGCTGGTGCAAATGACATGTCAATTCTCATGTTTCACCATTAGGTACAAGCCCAAAACACTACCAGTACAATGAATCAGTCTGCGGAAAAACTAGGTATTCCTTTACTGAGTTACTGAGAAGTAGCTTGCTTATCTTGGAAAAAAAAACAGTCTGTACAGTAACAAACAACAGAAACTCACCCTTAAGTTTTAAATTCATTTCGTTCTCAGTCATTTTAACAAGACTTTGTTCCTTTAACAAGAACTCTGTCTTCTTTGGTATAACCAGGAGGAGGATTCAGGTTTGGCAATCACTGTGGCCATCTCCAGATTACAGGCAACTTCTTCTTCCTTTTGATACAGAAGCAGGCTTCCCCCCCC